AGATATTAACACTGCTGAGCATGAAGGCAGATGGGATTTGGATCAGAGACCTTTATTTGTAGCATGATACTGATGACTCATTAGATTAAAGTAGGAATTTTGTTTCCTACAGGCGCTTGAATATTAACTGGAGTCAGGGATTTTACTTCCTCATTGGCATGAGTTAGTCTGTCATAAAAGCTTAAATGGAACTTGGGTAGTATTGATTTTCTTACATCCTAAAAAGATACTTAATGAAACTCCAGGTACCCAGGAAGGACTTTTGTGGAAGGGGAATGCAAAAAAAGCTTTAGTTGTAGCTCTCTTAACAATCTATTGTAGATGTGAATACATCTTTTAACTACAGAACCCCTTTGTTTACATAGGAGATTCTTCCTCTTCCCAAAAGTGCCAGAAATGCATTTGTCTTTGTTTTGTATGCAAAGAACCACTGTAGGATTAAAAAACATAGCAGGAGCAGTGAAAGGTTTTCTTTCTTTTGGATGCATGTGAACAGCTGCATGCACCAGAGGCCTGGCTCCTGAAGTCCTAATCACAACAGTTAGTGCTTTAAATCTGTGCATCTTCAAGCCAGGTGTTTAACCCATTTTATGGAAGGGGGAATTGAGGCATGGAGCCATTTACTATGTAATGCAGTAAGACTGTAACAAAACTGGGGTTAGAACCTTGAACATCTGACTTCTAGTACAAGGCTTTTTTGTCTACTAGACTGTGCTGCCTCCCTGTCACAGTTTGCGGGAGGGTGCAGTAATATGTTGTAGGCTCAAATTTTGAACTTGCAAAAGTCTAGGGAACATTGTATCTGGGGGAAGATGTGAGCTCCAGTGTGCCCTCCTGATGAGATGTTTATTTCTGCACGCTCTGTAGGATGGACAAATCTGGTGTCTGCATGGAAGCATACCCTAAGTGCCAGTTTGGAGTATTTTCTTGCTCGTTCATTATATCTCACTCGGATTCATTCAGGGCTCTCTTCCCTAGTGCTGTGCCTGCTTACACCCAAGGGTGTATGATCATTCAGGTTCTCTTCTAATGCTGCTAGTTAAAAACCTATTGACCTTCCTTCACATTTAATATGGCGGATCTGTCGGATACTGCATCTCTGTTAATGCCAGGCCTAGGTGATTTCTGCCTGCTCTCCAGCAGGGACCCAAAGTAACTGATTGCAACCTGAACTGACACACTTCTATCTGAAGTCACTACAATTAAAGTTTGGAATCACCATTCACTCTCCAGCCATTGACAATACAAGTCACTGGAGAAAGGATCTTCCCCCACCAGTTTACTTTGAATCAATATGTATAATGCATGATCTCTCCATTAATTACACATCACACCTTTGGGCCCCTCTTTGTATTGCAAAAGAAGGAACTGTTGCTATATACAGTGTCAGGCAGCTAAGAGCTGGTGTGATTTGCTGTAGTCTTTTCCTTTTTCCTTTTCTCCCTGTGCCCTAAGCATCAGAAACAAGCTGTAGTATTTGGTACACTCAGTGACAACCGAGCACTGTACCACAGAACCTCCTGGGGAGAGCTTCAGCTCATGGCCTTCCTATTGTTCTATCTCCTAGAGTCAACCTTAACTTTTGTTCATGCTCCAAAGAGTGATAAGTTGGGGAATTTTACTGAGGATTTGAGTAGGAAGATAGAGCAGCTCTGTGTCAGGTGCAGGGTAATTATTTGCTGGGGCTTCTGTGCTATTTGGTTTTTATTCCCTGTGTTTTCATTAAAGGCTAATGAGATTTTTCTTCATTCAGCACAATAGCTTGGCCCCTGACAAGTTGTTGGTTTATTTTTTCTGCTTGGACTCAACTAGTTGTTGCTGCTCCATAAACTTTATGGAGAAAAGGATTAGAGCACAAGAAGTTTCAATCGCCTAATGCAAATCCAAACCGAAAGGACTGAGACTGACTTTGTTTTGTATTTGGGGGAAAAAGAGGGGTTGGGGGAATGTTTATGTGGGTCTGAGGAGTGTTGTTCTCTGAAGCTCAGTGCTAAATTGCCTGGTTTGAAACTTTTTGTGGAAACAAACGTGGACTTGAAAGGAGCCTCGGTTTTGAGTCTATCTTAATTTGTACAACCTTAGAGTTTGGGCATGTGTGCCTCTGGAGCCTGTGCATATTTGTGACTGGGTCATGCTGTCTGATCCCATTTGCACATGCATGTGAAAGTCCAGCATATGTTTCGGTGCCTGAATGTGAGCCTGTAATAAGGAAGAATGCACATCTAGCAACAATGCTGCTGTATATCTCTGGATGCAACATGGGTTTATTAAATAGTCTGCAAAAGCCTGTTGTGTAACAGATCAGTGCCCTCATCTTGCAGTTTTGCTCGTGTTGGTAAACACATTGATGTAATAATGAACTATTCCTGGGTATAAGTGCCAGGATTGGGCCCTTGTTTTTTTTCCAGGTAGTTTACTGCAGTGATGCGCTGATGCACAATGCATTGCTTTCCAGTGAGACTGGTGCCCCATGCCTTGCTGCCTCGCAGTATCCTGAACCCATAAACAGTTTGCTCGTTATCACAATAATGCTGCACCTGTATCTCATTATAAGGGAACACCTGTTACCTTGTTTCCAAAGGCTTTTTTTAATAGCCTGCTTTGGTTTGGTTGCAAGAAAATGTTCCTTAACAAATCAGGGCCTGAGTGGGCTCAACAGTAGCTGTCTTGTAACACTGGCATATACACCAAGTATCTGCAGTGATGCAATAGTCAAACCCCTTATACTGCAGCACAGCATTTAGGAAGGTAGTTCATTACTAGGAACATTCTGTGGTTGTGCTTTGCCTAGAAATCTGTGCTGTAGCAGTCTTTTTTTTTTTTTTTTTTTTTACTTGTTCTTTCAAAAGGTATGA